CTCAGCCTGGAATTATTTTTCAAATGGCATTTGGTGCGTTCAGTTCCATCCTCAGTTTCTGCCGGGGCAGCCACAAATCAGAAATATTTAACAAGCCTGGCGCTAGACTATCTAACAGATTCTACAATTGTTTTATTTGACTTAAAATGGTTTAGGGACGAGTCTCACACTGAAGCTTCTGACTCCATGCCCCATCACTGAGAGGACAGACCATGGATGACCCATGGCACACTGTGACGTAGCACTTGTAGCTGAGGGACCAGAGTTTGGTAGATGACACCAGCAGCCTGCTAGCCCTTGGCATGCCAGTGTTGGAGTATACCATGCTGAAGTAAGGATGACTGTCTTAGCTGGAAACTGACCTTCAAACCAAGATAGAGTTTTCTACTTTATATGAAATTATGGAGTACATTTTCTATAGTGATGTAAGTACATGCTTGTCCCTGACTTTTCCCTCACAATGATTAATAGGCAAAAAGCTAGGATTTTGAGGTAGTTGATAATTTCCCCCCTCTTTTCAGTATCTTAGATAAAATTTCCACTTTTGTGAGAAAGTGTGGTATAAACTCAGGAAATGCACAGCCGTGCAAAGCTGTGCTCTTCTGTGCACTTCCGTGTGCTCGGCTGTGTTGGCCTCGCGGGGGCATCCTTGAATCTGCTCACTCTGTATGGCCCGGAGACCACGCTGGGAAGTGCCTCTCCCCAAAGCCCCAGGAAGGAGTTCAACCACTGCCCTCCCCATTCTGTGGGTTCTGACATTTGTTGGGCGATGCAGCATGGACCCACAAAGGTGGCTTTGCTTGGTGACTGTGTTTTATCTGCCTAAGAGGGTTTTACCGTCTTGGCAAATATGATGATTATTTGTGTAATGCCGCAGGTTTGACTCTGGTTTTTATCCTCCTAACCCTATAATGAATTTTTTTAAAAAAAATATAGTGCTAAAATAATAACATAGTGTTTTATTTTTGACGAGGTCTCTCACTCTGTCGCTCGGTACCTGGAACTCACTATGTAGTGCTGGCTGGCCTCTCATCCATGGCAACCTTCCTGCTTCAGCGTCCTATGAGCTAAGATTACAAGTGGGGTCACTATGCACAGATCTTCCATTTTTCTTCCTCCTCATCCGGTCTACTTTTGAAGGGTGATATTTCTTTCTTGTTTAAAGTTTGGGGAGAATTATATTAAAGGTGTGAATAAGAGCTTCTTACAGACACTGGTTCACGGGAGCCAGACCTTGCCTCAACAGGTTCTTCACAGACCCTGATTGCACAAGAAGAGGACTTAGTTTCTACTTCTGTCTTCCTTGGTCCCCATAGAACCCAGCTTGTCTTGCAGGGCTATATCCATCAGTCTGTGGAGGAGACAGACATGATTAGTGTGCATAACAGGCAAACTCTCAAACCTGTGTTGGCTGGGCACGGTGGTACGTGCCTGCAACCCGAGCACTCTGCAGGCAGAGGCAGGAGGATCGCAATGAGTTGATGGCCATGTTGGGCTCTAGAGTGAGACTGTTTCAGAATAGTACTGGCGGCGGCAGCAACACCTCCTGACATTTGGAGAGGCAGAGAAAAAGTTCACTGGATACCAGAGAAATGCTTTGTCTCTGATTTTGGAGAATCATTCCTTAGAAAGACAGAGCTAATTTGACACAAAGTTCCCTTCCATAAAAAAAAAAAGAAAGAAAGAAAAGAGGAAGTAATACTTATTTATATGGCTCTTTTGTCTAGCTAAGAACATTTTTGGGTTCCTTGGGTGGTTTTTGAAAAGATCTATTTTTAATTGTGTGTGTGTGTGTGTGTGTGTGTGTGTGTGTGTGTGTGTGTGTGTACATGAGTGTAGGTTCCCTCTGAAGCCCTGGAGCCATGAGTCACCTGACATGTATGGGTGCTGGGAACTGAACCCAGGTCTTTTGTGATAGTGCCTATGCTGTCTCCTGCTGAACCAGTGAGGGAATTCCTTAGGCTTAATGAAGGCCCTCAGAGGGGCATCCAGTGGGGAAGTCAGCTTTTCCTCCTCCAGTTTCTTCTCAGCCCCATCATCAACTCTGTGTCCTGCAGCCTTACATGAAAAGGTGCTAGAGGGAGAAAATCCAAGGCAAAAGTCAGTGGCTGTCTGTGCTCCAAGAATAAAAACATCAATAAATGAAAGCCACTGTTAAGAAAATCAGGCACAGAATGCCCATTAAATTCTTGGGGCCTTAACACCAGGTGTAATGGTCTATCATGTCCCTTTAAGAGAAAAGACCTGCCTACTCACCCCCACCCCCCAGACCCTGGGGCAAGCAGATCTTCCTTTGGCTTTCCCCTTCTGGCCTGAGCTCTCTTTCCCTTTCTGACTCTCTCCCAAAGAGGTAGCTGCTGCTGTGGCTCCTCTCCTCCCCCCTCTGACTCTGTCTCTGTCTCTGTCTCTGTCTCTGTCTCTGTCTCTCTCTCTCTGTCTCTCTCTCTGTCTCTCTGTCTCTCTGTCTCTCTCTGTCTCTCTCTGTCTCTCTCTCTCTCTCTCTCTCTCTCTCTCTCTCTCTGTCTCTCTGTCTCTCTGTCTCTCTCTGTCTCTCTCTGTCTCTCTCTCTCTCTCTCTCTCACACACACANTGTGTGTGTGTGTGTGTCTTTTTCTGCTCTTCCCCCTTCTCCCCTTACCCTCTCTCCTTTTCCCTTCCACAATCCACTAAATAAATATCCAACCTCACTCTGCATGGAGTGCCTGTCCATGTCTCTGTTTCTTACCCACTGCATGGCTCCCTTCCCTGAACTTCAAAGACCTGCGACACGGTCTTGTGACATGCCCATCCATCTCAGTCTTTCACCCACGATATGGCTCCCTGCCTGGGACCCAGCTGCCTCAGTGAGCTGCTGTGGTCTTGGGACCTGCTGCCTGCTGCCTGTGGCCCCTCTTTGCTCTTCTCTCTTCACCCCTTTCCTTTTCCCCTCCATAACCCACTAAATAAATATCCAACCTCACTCTTCATGGCATGCCTATCCATCTGTCTCTTACTTGCAGTGGCTGTGGCTCCTCCTGGGACCTGGCTGCCTTCGTGGCCCACCGTGGTCTCGTGGCCTGTTGCCACCACTTAGGGACCTGCAGCATTGTATTTTTACCATTACACTGGGGACATCCTGTTGCTCACTGCATGTGAGACAGATCTGCTGTGATGTCCATGGGTGTGTGTGGCTCGCACAGCCTGCTGGGGTCAGCTGCCCTCCTTTAAAGGCTTCTGGAGTCCCAGAGCACAGGACAGTGAAGGAACACACCTCGCTGTTGGCTCTGGAGGCTGTGTTGGTTCTTTCCTCTTTGACGTGTGATGAAATACTGGATGAACGCTCCTTCAGGTTGGGGAGATCTATTCTGGCTCCCTCTGGGGGTGCAGGCCTGATGGCAGGGGTGGCCAGGTGCACAAGGATGCTGAAGCATCTGGCCACATCACACCTGAAGGCAGGAAGCAAAGAGGGATTAACACCTGTTCCTTTTGTTAAATTCTGAGACCCCAATCCGTGAGGTGGTTTTGTTCCTATTTGGTTAGGTCTTCCTTCTCCAGTTAAACTTCCTGGAAACACTCTCAAGGGCACACCTAGAGGTGTGTTGCCATGGTGACTCTAAATCTAATCAAGTTAGCAGTCAGGAAACTTCTTCCTTCTTCACTTAGAATGGTGCCTGAAGGAGTGGCTTCCTGGGGGTGTGTAGACTGCAGAGGGAAGACTAGCCTTGCCCTCCAGCAAACAGGAAGATGTAGGAAACAGATCCTAGTTTGGTTTATATAGAGCATCAAAGGCACCCAGAAGCTCCCACGGAAAGCTAGGATTCAGAAGCCGCTGGTAGCCAGCAGCCAGGGGGATGACAATGCTCTTACAATGAGCTGATAAGGAGAGGAAAGCAGGTTGAAGGGAGAAGGGATGTTCCTTCCTAGTTTCCTGTGCCAGTGCCACACAGGGAGCAGGAATCCAAGGGAAGCACTGAGAGGCTTAGTCAGTTGAGGTCAGGCTGGAGGAGACATAGTGACTGCCAGGCCTGAGTGTGCAACAGAGCAAGAGAAGCCACTAATGGGGAGAGGGGTTGTGGGAGGGGGAAGCCCAACATAGGGAGTCAGGGCAAGCCCCTAGCTACTGGGAACAGAATAACCAGAGTACTCAGAGAGAGGCAGGAAAGGCAGGAACCCAATGTCACAGTATTGGGGAGGAACACGTGGGATTCTGAGTAGCAAAACTCATGATAAGCATTGGGGAAGGATCGGGGACCAGTGGAGCAGGCACTTGGACATGGCTGGGGTTAATAGACAGAAAAGTGAAGCCCTTGCTCATGGCCTGTGAGCTGTGTATCTGCAGCCAGTAATGAACTTTTCCCATTGAGTAAACTTCCATTTATTATATTGATTTAATGTGTGTGTGTGTGTGTAGGGGTCATGTGCATGACACAGCACACGTGTGTAAGAGCTCGGTTTTCTCTCTCCCGTCTACATCCCAGGGATTAAGCTCGGATTCTCAGGCTTGTCTTCAAGGGTTTTCACCACTAAGCCATCTCCTTGGCCTGTAAATATAAATGTGTATGTACATTTATGCATACACATATGCATACATGCATATATATGCAACTGGTTTGCTTTAGTGTTTTATTCATTTATTGTGTGTGCACGTGCATGCCACAGCATGTATGTGGAAGTCAGAAGGTTTCTCCATCTACCAAGTCCACACTGGCCTTGAACTCAGGACCCCAGGCTGGATGACAAGATCCTTTACCCGCTGAGCTAGCTCCACAGCTGCCCAGTTGGTGTGTGTCTAATGTATACAGCTTGGTGGGTTCTGGGATGAGGTGGGAGCCCTGTGATCACCTCACTGATGGTAAAAAGCAAATTTATTGCTGTTCCTGGGACCTTTGCGACTTTCCCTCAGAAAACACTGATTTGGTGTAAAACTTTTTCTCACGTTTTTACTTCAGACATACATGCATTTAGCTTGTCAACATTCTTTAGTTTTGTTTTAAAAAATGACAACAGCTCTCCTCTTCCAGGGTAGCATACTCCGGAAAATCCTTCTGAATCGGTACTTCAAAGGTGACCATGGCGTCGGCGCCAACGGACCTCTGTCAGGGGCCTATGCCAAGACTGCACAAGTGGGAGGTACGTTCTCGTTCCCCATTTAGGGTTTAACGGCAGTGCTACTCTCCTGTCTGACTTAGGTGACGCAAATGTGAAATATTCACTTAAAACACCAGGAAAACTTCTGTGTATTTGGGGGTTCCTGAACCCACAGGGTGAGCGCCATGGTGAATTTTTGCCTCTTAACTCTGCATAGTTTGTTTCGGTTTTGTCACACACACATTAGGGTAAAATTTGTAGAGTAGTTTTATAAAGGTTTATTTATTTTTATCTTATACATATATGTGAGTACCTGCATGTGTGTCTGCATACCATGTAGTGAAGAGGCGAGCAGGTCTGCTTTTCATCCCACCCGGGCTCCTGCACGGCTAGCTTAGCCCCGGAAATAATAACACGAAAACTCTATTCATTTAAACACTATCTGGCCCATTAGTTCCAGCCTCTTATTGGCTGATTCTCACATATTGATTAACCCATTTCTAATAATCTGTGTAGGACCACGAAGTGGTGGCTTACTGGGAAGATTCTAACCTATGTCCATCTCGGACTGGAGCTTCATGGCGTCTGACTGTCTCTGCTTTCTTCCTCCCTCCTACCTATATTCTGACCTATCAGGCCAAGCAGTTTCTTTATTAATTAACCAATGAAAGCAATAGATAGATAGAAAACCCTCCTACATCAACACCACATGTATGCTGTTGACTGTTGGATTCCTTGGAACTGGGGTTACAGATGGTTATGAACCACCATGTGGGTGCTGGAATCAAACCCAGGTCCTGGGCAAGAGCAGCCAGTGCTTGCAACTGCTGAGCCCCCTCTGTAGCTCTTTCTAGAGTATTTTAAGAAAAAGCATTTAGTAACACCGAGTTACACACTGGACATCTTTTTACAATTTCCGTCTTTATGGACTTTTTGTATTTGAGCTAAACTTTCCCGTGGCCCATGTTATGGCTTGAGAACTTGGAAATGCTGTCCACTGCTGACGATGTCTGTGATGAGAGTCGGTTTGCTAGTTTTACTTTCTTGTTGTTTCTCCCCATCACAGGAGGCTTCTCTGGACAGGACGCGGATAAGATGGGGATTTCCTTGTCGGATATCCAGTGTCTGCTGGACAAGGAAGGGGCATCCGAGCTTGTCATTGATGTCATTGTGAACACCAAGAACGACAGGATCTTTTCCGAAGGCATTTTGCTGGGCATCGCCTTGCTGGAGGGAGGAAACACGCAAAACCAGGTGCCACCTGTCGTTTCTAGTTTTTAAAAGAAGGATTTTGGTTTTGAGAACTTGATAGAGTGGATTTTGTTCACATCTCCCCTCTCTACTCCTCTAATCTTCCCTTATCTGCCCCATCTCCCTACTCTCCCCAGCTTTGTGTCTTCTCTGCTGCCATCCCAATAAACTTTGGGTGCCAGTTTGTGCTGCCCAGGTACTGCTGTGTACAGACCCATCTTCTAGAGCATGGTTACCCTTCCGGGAGCCACCCCCTTGTAGAAGACTGACTCTCCCTGCCCAGAAGCCAGGGCTGAGAGCTCCCAAGCTCCTTCTCTCTCTATGCTGGAATATTCACTGGCTTGATCGTGTGCAGGCGGCCACAGCTGCTGTGAGTTTGTGCATGCTGCCGTCCTTGTTTTGCTCTGGTCTTCCCTGATCTCTGGCTCTTCCAGTCTTTCCTGTTTCTTACTCACTTGTTAAAGAAACCAAGGCAAAAGCATTCTTTTAGCTTCTCCTTGCTGGCACAAACAAAACACCTCACAAATCACATTTCCCTCATAAACCTATTTGGTTTCCTATCAAAATGATAGGGCTTTCCTCTTTCTCTAAACAGAACATCCCTTGAAGGTCACTCTGCAGCAGGAGCCACAGTGGCGGTGGGCACTGTGCTCACGTGCTCCACGGTGACAGTGGTGGGCACTGCGCTCACGTGCTCCACGGTGGCGCTGGGCCCTGTGCTCACATGTACACCAAGGATCTGACCCTGTCTAGTCAGCACTCCTGTCCCTTGGAGACCCCTGCCAGGTTTCCCTTGCATCCTCTGCGCCCAATAGTGTGCTCCATAAGCCTGAGCTCTGGAAACTTCCCAGAGATCACTTGTGAGTTTCCTGGCGCGTTGCTCAGTAACCCAATCTCCTATATTTTCTGAAGCCATGGAGGCAATCATAGCTCCAGCTAGCTAGAAATTCCCAAACCTATTTTCCCCATGAAGGGCGGGCAGAAGCCCTGTCAGATTTTGCTTTAATTTGTCACTGGGTGTATCTAGCAGATTTCTCTGGACAGAGAGTCGTCCCAGGGGATCGCCCTTCATCCTCTTGTGGGTGCTGGCCGTACCAGCCAGCTCCAGGAGAACTGCAGGCTCTGCTTTTAAATGCTAGCTCATTGCTTCCTAGACCCAACCTTTGGTCTTTATTCGCCTCATGTTTCTGTGGCATTGATCACTGGGAACGTCTTCGTTCTTCTGGAACCTTTACTACCTGGGTTTTGGACCCCGCTCCCTTACCCCTTCACCACTGCCTCCAGGTTCTCTTCCAGCCTCATGTGAGGGATCCTCTTCTCCCCGAGACTAGTACCATGGCTTCTGGCTGTCTGACTGAAAACTAGAAGTCACTTTTGACTGTGACTGGTCATCCCTTGGTGACAAACCTGGGTGATATCTCTTCTCCCTAACACTTCAGTCCCTGCTTCTCAAACCATCGTTGCAATTCCTTGCCTTTGACTCTGCTGTGACCTTGTTTCCCAGCTCCGTTCTGCCTTCTCTCTAACATTCTCTCCATTGCCTCCAGTGACTTTTTATAACCCTGTGTTACACCCTGGTTCAGATCACTCTTCCTAGTAACATAGACTCCCTACTGAGCTCATGAGCTTCTTCCTAGGCTCCGGCTGTCTCTCTCATTCGTCTGTCTGTCTGTCTGTCTGTCTCTCTCTCTCTCTCTCTCTCATTCGGTCTGTCCCTTCCCCTGCTCTTTCTCTTTGTGGCCCCCCAGGCACACCCTGTCACTTTTCACGCTGCTCCCTTCTCTTGGAGGACTCAGCTCTATGGCTTCTCTTAGAACTGATTTCAGCCCCTTGTCCCGTTGGGCAGAACTGACTGCTGGTTGCTGTGTGACCTCGCTGTAACATCCAGGTGCTCTGTGTAGTGTTTCTATCACTTCACAGTGACTTTCCAGGTGTGCCCCAGATTCCTCCTAGTAAATTAAACATCCCTGGAGGTTTGGAACAGATCTTCATTGCTGTGTGTTTGTGTTTGGAACTCTAGTGCCCAGTAACTATTCAGTGGTGGGTGTGTTTATGAGAGACTGGTCATGATGAAGCCTCCTCTTCCAACTGGGCATGTGACACCTGCTTCCTGGAGCCCGACTCCAATTGTTTCTCACTGGGTGCCTTCTCTGTGACCCTTTGTTTTATTGTGTGTCTTTCATTATGTCTCTCCAGTAATTTTTGCCATTTTCTAATGTGTGTAGGGGGTGATAGCCTATTTTTTTTTATTTCCATAGTTCTTTATAGTCTTTTAATACATACCCCCCCACACATACACAACACCATACACTTCACACATACACATCACATATCACACACACATATCACATACACACACCACAAACACACACCACACATACATATCACACACCACACACATACCACATACATACCACACACACCATACACACATCACACAACACACATACACACACAACACACACACACATACACATCACACACACATCATCACACACATCACACACACACCACACACACACCACACACACATACACCATACACACATACACATCACACACAATCACTACACACACATCACACAACATACACACACACACACACCACACATACTCTGACTAGTGATACAGATCTGTCATCCCAACTACCCAGGAGGCTGTGGCTGGAGGACCAAGTTCAAGGGAAACCTGAGCTATGGAGCAGGCTCAAGGCCGGTCTGGGAAACGTAACGAAATCAGGTCCCAAATTTAAAAAGAAAGGAGAACTGGGAATGTAGTGTGCATAGCAGTTCTGAAGCCACCAGTTCAGTCTCTCGTGCAGAAAAGAGAAGAAGACGAAAGTCACACACACATCTGTTGAGGAAACAGCATTACTACAAATCTGTGCACAGAAAACCTCTTGTGGGCTAAGAAAACCTCACTCTCTAGGTTCTGCTGCTTAGGTGTCTGATTTAGGGACATGGTGGTGCCGAGATGTCAGCTGTGTGCTGTGGCTTGAAGAGGGCTAGATCAGACCAGCTGAATCTGACCCCTCTTTAGTGACGCGTCCAGCTGAATCTGACCCCCCTTTAGTGACGCGTCCAGCTGAGTCTGACCTGCTTTAGTGATGTGTCTCTGCTGTGTTAGAACTGTTTGTTGCAATGATGAGACACGAGGACCAAGCAGCTTATAGTAGCAAGAGCTTGTTTTGTTTATGGCTCCTGAGGAAGAGTTCTTACTAGCTGGGGAGGCAGGGCAGCGGGTAGCTGTAGCAGGAAACTGAGAGACCACATCTCCATCCTCAAAAAGGAAACAGAGAGTAAACGGGAAGTGTACCACATACATGTAGGGAAGCCAGAGGAGGAACTTGGATCCCCTGAAGTTAAAGTTGTTGTAAGAAAGAGTGGCCCGGCTACGTTCCTGGCACCCAGCCGCCCACACGGCTAGCTTTACCCGAAATGATTACATGGAAACTGTATTCTTTTAAACACTGCCTGGTCCGTTATCTGTAGTCTCTTATTGGCTAGCTCTTACATATTAATCTAACCCATTTCTAATAATCTGTGTAGCCCATGAGCTGGCTTACCAGGGAAGATCTTAACATGCGTCTGCCTGGCGTGGGAGAATCATGGCGACTCCTGACTCAGCTTCTTTTTCCCCCCGCATCCTGTTCTGTTTTCTCTGCCTACCTAAGGGTTGGCCTATCAAATGGGCCTAGGCAGTTTCTTTATTAGTAAGAAATCACTCCCACATCATTTCCCCTTTTTCTTTTTAAACAAAAAAGAAGGCTTTCATTTTAACATAGTAAAATTACATATAGCAAAACAGTTATCAAGCAAGAATTACAGTTACAATATTTCTATCTATTTTATCTTTTATCATAACTAAGGAAAACTATAACTATCTATTCATTCTTCAACTCCATCAAAGACTCCAGAAGGATATAATAATACCTAAGCAAACAAGAAATCCAAAGCTCTAGAAATGACAGAGACATCTCGCTGCCTGGACAATCACCCAAAGTTTCTCTGTACCGTTGGGGCATCCATCTTTGGCCTTCAGGCCCATAGTATCCAGAGACATTTCCATGAAGCAGGAAAATTCAAAGACTTCAGTCACTTTCTGCTGTGTCCTGCAGAATGTCTCGTGAATTCTTTTATGAAGCAGGAACCCCAAAAGATCATCTCACCTTTAGGCAAGTTCAGCAGTCCTCTCTCTGCGGGTTCTTTGTGTCCAGTTTATGCATCAGTCCAGGCAAGAGCAGTGTCTTGCACAAATGGCTATCAAACTCCATAATGAGCCTCTTCGATGCCCATCTTCCTCTTGAAGTAGATTGGTGCCACCAGGAGCAGACATGTCTCATTGTCATGAAAAGTCCTAAGTTATTAAAATATTTTAAATGCCATATTCTGCAGTCTTTGAGAGATATGAAGAATGTCTATCTAACTGAAATATATCTCTATATATCTAGAAAATCTAACATGACTACAAGCTTGACTATTGTTGATGATTATCCATTAACAACCTATATTTCTAATTATACATTACATTTTAAATGAACTACACAATCACAATACCTTAATCAATATCAGAAATACATATACATATAACAAAATTGACCTTAAAATCCATACCAATGCAAATTATTCATACCTATATCATTTCCCCCTTTAAATGTAAAAGAACATTTATAAACAATATTTGGGAACATGGGCGTAGTTTTTTTCTCTCCAAACTGCTTCCTGCTGAATAGGGGCGTCATTAATTAGGTCGTTCATGATATAACCTTTGTGCTAGTTTCATCTCAGTTGGCAATTGAGCGAAGCAATTTTTTGAGGGTGTTCACAGCAACCTTTCAGGAGGGTGTGGTCTATCATACCATGTTGGGATAAATGTAATCCATAGAGTCTGATCCTCTGTGAAAACAAAGAAGACCCTTTCCAAAGCATCATATCCTTAGACCCAAATTCCGAAGTCAAGATACCTTTAGAACATATGTGCAGGTTCAGCTTAGCAGCCCATATAATGAAATGTCTCTCTGTACTTAGCTCCTTTACAGTCAAAAAATTTAAAGAAAACACAATGTACATAATCCAGACTCTCTGTGAATTTTCCATTTTTTGTGGCTTATTTTTCTTTATTTCTTTTAATCTCTTAACTATCTGTACTCTGTTTCTTTAAAGACTTTACCCTTTCTTTTTAAAGACATTAACTTTATTCTTTATATTCTTTTTCTTCTCTCTCCCAAGCCTACGTACATTCATCCAACAGTGTCTGAATCTGTTTTATTGTGAATCTGTAATTTTTTACTATCCAGGAGCATTTCTTAAAATGTTAAGCAGTTCTTAAAAACTTAAGTTGCACCATGTACAGGGAATACGGTACCATCTGTGTCCTGCCCAGTTGAAACCTTAACTGTGCCGTTATTACAGTAATTACGGTAGTTCCTGCCTGAGGTCAGCACAGTTCAGCATGGAGCAGCTGCTCCTGTCTCAGATCCATTTGGTGCCCCTGAGCTGAGCACAGTTCCAGGCACACAGCAAGTCCGCATTGGCGGTCATCAGTTTAACTCTGAGACTGAGCGTGCAGCACAGAAACTCTTTTCATCCAAGTTATAGCAAAATCTGACACGCAGAGCACTGTGCAGTCTGAAAATGCGTCTCTGTATGGCGGCAGGAATCCGCCATGCTCTTCCACCTGCCTAAGCCTGATTCTGCCATCTGCCCAGGTGCAGGCGGGAGCACTGAGCCATCGGCATGGTCTCAGAGCACTCTCCTCTGATCCCAAGCGGGAACACAAACATCCAGTCCCATAAAAGCCTTGACATGCTTTAAAGCCAGAGTTCATGCTGGCAGCACAGCCCCAGGAAGCCGCACTTTAAAATGACGCAGCTTTTTTTCTGCTGTTGTTGCTGAATCAGGAAATTTCCTTATGGCACGCCACCAACAAAGAGCAAAAATCTGTGTTAAACTCTCTCTCCCTTATTTTTAAGCCTTCTCAGGTTTTTAAGTGGATTTAGCCCATCACGTCTGGGCGCCACTCTGTAGTGATAGGAGCGGTGGCAGGGCTGAGCCCCCGGCACCCGACCACCCGCATGGCTAGCTTATGCCCGAAATAATTACACGGAAACTGTATTCTTTTAAACACTGCCTGGTCCGTTATCTGTAGTCTCTTATTGGCTAGCTCTTACATATTAATCTAACCCATTTCTAATAATCTGTGTAGCCCATGAGCTGGCTTACCAGGGAAGATCTTAACATGCGTCTGCCTGGCGTGGGAGAATCATGGCGACTCCTGACTCAGCTTCTTTCTCCCAGCATCCTGTTCTGTTTTCTCTGCCTACCTAAGGGTTGGCCTATCAAATGGGCCTAGGCAGTTTCTTTATTAGTAAGAAATCACTCCCACATCATAAAGTTACAGAGGATTATGAACTTCTGTGTGGATGCTGAGAACTAAGCATAGATCCTCTATAAGAGCAACAAGTACTCCTAACCACTGACCTATTTCTCCTGCCCTGTGTTAATATTCTTAATTTCCCTTCCCTGTTCGTGGGTTATCTCAACTGCCCTGTTCCAGTTACTCTGGACCAGAGTGAATCCCGTCCTTACTTCATGAGACTTCCTGCACTGGATATGCTTGGTCAGATGTGGATTTGTGGAGGCAGATAGAAGGAATTACAACTTCAAACACTCACAATAAGAGGAACAAAAGCTAGCTATTGTGGGTCACACTTGTTATCCCAGCACTGAAGGTTCATCCAGGAGGATTGCTTGACCCTGTCAAGAGTAAGGCTGTCTCAAAAAGAAAAAAGAAATAAAAATATAACATAAAGGCTATTGAGTTTTAGGAACCATTCTTACATACCTTAATTTAGCTAACCTTATATATTAATTAAAGCCTGTGATTAATATATACTATCCTAGATTACCAAAGAAGAAGCAGGCAGATCTCAGCCCCACGGTTACTTAGAGACAGAGCTGACATTTGTGTTCATGCTGCCTGGCTCCAGATTCTGTACCTCTAGCCACAATGAATACCTCCTTCTCAGAGATAACCTTCTATGTTCTTAGCCCCAGCAAGTGACAGTGGTTGATCACCATATGTGAGCCTTTGTTTTTCCCAGTGGGATAGCTACATAAAATTGTCACCTGAGGAGTCTCCATGAGGACTGACCTGGACGAAGCTGGCCTGTGGATATGTCTGTGGGGACTGTCTTGATTGTGCCAGTTTGGTGGGTGACACCATCCTTAGGCCAGGATCCTGAGCCATGCATGAGGAGAGAAGGCCGGCTGAGCACAAGCGGACTTGCGTTCGTTACTGACTGTGGATGTGCTTGCTCCAGTTGCCTTAAGCTCCTGTTCTGTAGTAAGAGCTGCGGGCCTCTTCCCACAGCCCAGCTCCTGGTTGCCTGGCTAGCTTATACCCTGAAATAACAACACACAAACTGTATTCATTTAAACACTGCCTGGCCCATTTCTATTAATGTGTATAGCACCGAGGTGCACTTACTGGGAAGATTCTAGCCTACGTCCATGCTGGGTCAGAGCTTCATCACGTCTGCCCCAGAGAGGAGAGGAAATGGCGTCTGAGCTTACTTTCTCTTCCTCCCAGCAGTCTGTTCTGTTTACTCCACCCACCTAAAGGCTGGTCTATCAAATGGGCCAAGGCAGTTTCTTTATTAGCTAATGACCTTCCTCCATCACTCCTGCATCTGTGATGTCCTCGCCATGGTCCACTTTCACCTAGAACTGTGTGCGAATGAGCCCTGTCTCCCCAAGTTGCCTTTGACAGAGTGATCTATCACGGCAACTGGAAAGGAAGCTGATACACTAGTCTCCACTCCATCGCTTCGCCTCCTTCCTCCATTCCTCCCATTTTCTTCTCCTCCATGAGGCAGATTATTCACCTCTAACACTGTTTACCCTTTGCTTTTGGCTCCTGCAAAGAGCCTTGAGAGTTCCTGCTGACACTGCTTGTTGTCCATAATGCGGTGTCTGGGTAGATGCTGTGCTGTCTGATGAACCCATGGAACATACTTTGCTCATCATCTAAGTACTTCCCTGTCTCCTAAGAACATCTTACCACACTTTTGATCTTGAATCCTTCCTGCATCATTACTGATGATAAATTAGAGTTTATTTCCAGTCAATTTCCCCCTAAACTACATGTAAAGCATCATTACTTATAAAGTAACGGAACAACTTAATACCTATTTACCAGTGGGTTCCCATAAGTCAGGTTGTCATGGTAACTCATCCTAAGTTTAATGTACTATCAGTTAGCTATAAAACATAAAATAAAAACATTGCCACCTGACAGGGAGCCCTTGTTTATACAGGGTAGTCATAAGTCATAAGTGCCCATGCTTCACATTAGATTACCAACTCACGTGGGCACCCAGACTCTTTCTGTCCTGTCTGTAACAACAATATAGAACCCCACACATGGTAGGCGTTCAGTAAACGTGTGTCGTGTCGACGCACAGCTTTGTGACACTATCAGACTGAAAGAATTGGTTACTTATGAAAACTCACTATACCCATAATGAAAAATGAGTGCAGGAAGATGCATCAGGTAGAATATAAACTATGTTAGAATTTAGTGGAAGGTCTGAGTTATTATTAATGTAATAACATGTTATTATTAATGTAATGACATGTGCTATTAGTATGTATTAATTGGAATGAGACACTGGAAGCCTGTCTATTTGCCGAATCAGTAAAAGGCAGCACACTGTGCTTTTATCCATAAGACCTGTGTTTATTTCAGAATAAACCACTCTTTTTTTTTTTTGCCTGTGGAACTGATATTTTAAACGATGCTTTCTCCACAGAATTCTTTCTACAAGCAGTTGCATGAGCAGAAAAAGTCGGAAAAATTCTTCAAAGTCCTTTATGATCGGATGAAGGCTGCTCAGAAAGAGATCAGATCCACGGTGACCGTCAACACCATAGACTTAGGGAGCAAGAAGAGAGACGATGACAACGACCTCATGGCCTCGGGCCCGCGGATGAGAGGTGAGGAGATTCCCGAGTACCTGGGAGGATGGCATGAGAGAAGAAAGGAAAGAAGATTTAAATCTCAGGGAGCTTTGCCATCTTGCTTCTGGGGTTTATTATTTCCGGCGTTTCCAGTTTGGATGTCCGTCTATAGAGGATGGAAGGGGCTTGATCATAGAATAGCCCTGCGGGACCAAACTAAGATGAGGTTTAATTGGTGTGGGAACAGTGGACAACATCAAAGTCATTGGATTTCCTTGTTCTGTGCAGTAAAGAAAACAATCCCAGACTTTCTGATCATGGAAATTAAACTCTGAGGACAGAATTTGTTAAAGTGTTTGCATTTGAAATAACCCAATTATTGTCAATTAAATACAAACTGTGGAGATAGTATCATTTTGCAATTTATCATTTTTAATGAGATCTTTAGGAATTTTTAAGTGTGTGCACACATATATGTTTCTTGATATATTCTTGTTCTTTCTGTGTGTGCCACACGTGTGTGTGAGTGTCCACAGAGACCAGAAGAGAATGTTGGATCCCTGAAGCTGGAGCTACAGGATGCTATGAGCACCCTGACGTGGGTGCTGAGAGCTGAGCTTAGTCCTCTGGTCAAGCAGCAAGGGCTCTTAACTGCCAAGCTATTTGTCCTGGTTGGATTCTGCCAACTGACACAACTGGAAAGAGGGAATCTTGATTGAGAAAATGCCTTCATAAGAATGGCCTGTAGTCATGCTGTGGGCATTTTCTTGATTAGTGATTGATGTGGGAGGTCTCAGCCCACTGTGGTTAGTGCCTCCCTGGGCACGTGGTTCTGGGTTCTGTAAGAAAGCAGGCTGATTAAGCCAGGAGGAGAAAGCCAGTAAGCAACATTCCTCCATGACCTCTGCTCAATTCCTGCCTTGAGTTTCTGCTCTAATTTCCCTTAGAGATAGACTGATCTATCGCTACATATATGCTCTCTCTACATGTAATCCTATTAATAATATATACATATGTGTGTAATATATATGCATATGTGTATATATGTAATCTTATTAATACAACACATGCACACATATAAATAATCTTGTGATATATATATCACAATATGAAATAAACCCTTTTAGTCATGGTGTTTTATCAGAGCAATAGAAAAGCAACTAAGACACCACCTCTCCCGCCCTTTGCGATATACTCGTAAAGTCATTCATACATGTTTGTACATGTTCTTATGTGTCATTGTAATATACATTTGTATACCAGAAAATTCTGAAACCAGTTAAGTATGAAGGCCTTTTCTTCTGATTGCTGTGTCAAGTTTTCAGTTGTCCCTTCCAGAAAATTATTGGACTCCTTGTTAGGTAATTTTAAAATTAAGCTGTGGGGAAATTTGAATTCAATATTGCAGGGTTTTTTTATTTTTTTAATTAAAAAAATCAGAAATCCACTATTGCTTGCTTTTCAGTGAGAGATCCTTCACTTCACTTGAAAGAGGGAATGAAAGGGCAGTTGACAGAGGCATCTTCAGCCACATCCAAAGCCTACTGTGTGTACAGAAGAGAGATGGACCCAGAGATAGACATGGTGTGCCCAGGACCGGAAGCGGGAAGTGCAGAGGAAAAGTCTGCCGAGGAAGTTACCATGAGCCCCGCCATCACCATTATGCGGCCCATTCTCAGGTTCCTGCAGCTACTGTGTGAGAATCACAACCGAGAGCTACAGGTGCGTCTCTGCTCCCTGTGGGTGAGCTCTGTAGCCTGCGGGAGAGCGATCCAGGGGAAACTAATAGGGGATTTAGGAGGGAATTTTGGAGAAATAATCAACAAAGACTATTGAAATGGGAAGGAAGAAAAACAAGAGGAAAAATGTCCATGCAGTAACAAACAAACAGACAAATCCACACACTGTTACCCTATGGTCCAGAACTCACATCTTAGCACCGCTGAACCCCAGAACAACCAAATCCACACACTGTTACCCTGTGGTCCAGAACTCACATCTTAGCACCACTGAACCCCATCTGCTATCCCTCTGTGGTGTTCGTTCAGGAAGATCATCTTCATCTTGTCTCCCTCTCATGGTTTTAGAGTCCATAGTTGTTGAGCACAATATATATTTTTATGTTTCATTAGAAACAAAGTAATATAGAGCATTCTTATAATAGTTAAAATTGCTTTGCAAATTAATGTAGCCCATGTCATAGTATCTCACCACTACCATTTCCTCTGTCAGATGGGTGGACCAGGGATGCCTCAGCTTTGCCTGTCACTGTGTTTGTCTACATATGTTGCCCATGATGGCATAGCAAAGGCCTACAAATGGAGCTGTTTGGCTAGACTGAAGGAGAGTGAGAATGCTCACCTGAAGAGTTTCCACTGGGCAGATTGCTGCCAAGAAAGACACATGCCCACCATGCCAACCAGCTTAGCCATGCTACTAGCTAGCAGAGCTGGGAAGTAGTTTTATTAATGAATTATAGTGAGCTGGCTGGGGTTCCTGCAGTGGGCCCTACCCAGGATCTCTACCTTGAATTTCCACCAGACCATCTGGTTCTAGCAGCGTTTGTCCACACGGAAAGTGGCAGAGTGAGACGCCACGTGCACTATTGTCTGGAACACGGGATTCGAAGGCAGGAAATGGCAGTTCAGACAAAGCATTGCCCATGGCGATTGGGTGCTCTGGAAGGAATGATGGGAGAGCATGGCTCATGTAGACCAGCCTGCCACAGCTTAGATCAAGCTTCTGCAGGGTGTGCCACCTGCTCGCTCTACCCCCACATGCCCTGACAGTGTAGGCATAGACTGCAGAGCAGATGATGTAATATCTGACGATATGTCATTCACGGGAGTGTGGCGCAGGTACTGCAAAAGACTACTTTGGCACTAAGCACAAATAGTTAAGAACAAATTCAAATAACGTTAAGATAGAAAATGCCCTCTCTTTCCCGCTCTTTCTCTTCTTGGTTGTTTCCTTAGTTTATTCCCCAAAGGAAGTGCACCAAATAACAGTTTGTTTTCTTCTAGAAAATTCGATGTACGAACATTGATCCATGCATGTACATCTTCTGTTCAGGAGAATATATATTATACACAGTCTCGACTGTTTCCTTTAGTAACTTCATCTATTGCCGCATTCCTTAACAATGCTGATCCACACATACGGAGGTGTTTCCCATGATCCCAAGCCCATTGTGCTGCCAGGGAGAAGGCTCCAGCTTTTGCTATGACACTTTCTGTGCTAACAGGCAGTGAGAGTCAGTCGTGTGTGTGTGTGTGTGTGTGTGTGTGTGTGTACAGATTTAGGGTCATTCACAGAAATAGGTCTCTTCCCTGAGAAGCTTGATAGAAAAGCATGTTTCTCAGACCATGGCCTTACAGCCACTGCACAGTGAAGATAGGGGGGTAGTTCATTTGGAAGTTGGACCCCTTCCCCCTAGCATTTTGTTTTCCTATCCTTTCTACTTTTCATACTTACTTCCATCCTTTGTTGGTTTAAAATGATGACAATGGAGCAGTGTTTGTTATGACCTGTTCTGAAGATGCTTTTGCCACAACCCAAGAGGTCTCTCTTCTAATAGAAACTTAGTATGTCAATATTTAAATATTTTTATTTTAAAATTATCATGAAAAATAGAGTTTGCTTTTCTAAAACTTATTTTACCTTCCAACTATAGTTTTCCTTCCTTCCTCTTCTCCCAGTTCCTCCCCGCAGCCTCTTCTCTGCCTCCTTCCCTCTGAGAAACAATGCTTTATTATGACATCCTCAGCCATATCATTCTGTTTAGACATCGCCACCCCCATTACTTTTCCCTTATTACTCCCCTCTTTTGTTGGTCCCCTCCCTTCACTCAAGATGTCCACGCATACACACACACACACACACACACACACACACACAGAGATAGATAGATAGAGAGAGAGAGAGAGAGAGAGAGCGAGAGAGCGAGCTGGACATGGCCAGCACCCTTCTCTGTGTTTTGTTCCCGGTCCTTCAGTTGCACCCTCTTTAACCCCTCCAGAACTTCTTGAGGAATCAGAACAATAAAACGAACCACAACCTTGTGTGTGAGACGCTTCAGTTTCTGGACTGCATCTGCGGGAGCACCACAGGTGGCCTGGGCCTGCTGGGTCTCTACATCAACGAGAAGAATGTAGCTCTGGTCAATCAGACCCTGGAGAGCTTGACAGAGTACTGCCAGGGCCCATGCCACGAAAACCAGGTAACCATGACAGTGGAGCTTCACGGGATGGGAGCCGGACTCAGGAGCAGTGTGCCAGACTAGGTGCAGAGCCGGCCTCCTGGGCCCATGACGGCTTCCTGCTCGCTCCGCCAGCATTGCCATTTTCTTACAGAAGATACAGAAGTGGAATTGTAGACGAGCAAATGCCAGGCCATATTTTAAATTTCATTGTGAAAGAAGATTCTCGTGAACGTATATAAGATAAAAGAATTACAAAAGAAGGGAAAGATTATATTCCTTCCCAGTGTTCAGGCTTTCTCTATAGAGAATCTCTCCAGATGTGTGGGGTTAACTGGCTGTGACTTTGGCTCCACTGCAGTGCAGGGGAACCTAAAACCCATGTTACACTCAGTGAGCTAGTTGTCTGATACCCGTGCTACACACTCAGTGAGCTAGTCTGATACACATGTTACACACCCAGTGAGCTAGTCTGATACACATGTTACACACTCAGTGAGCTAGTCTGATACGTGTGCTACACACTCAGTGAGCTAGTCTGATACACATGTTACACACCCAGTGAGCTAGTCTGATATGTGTGCTACACACTCAGTGAGCTAGTCTGATACGTGTGCTACACACCCAGTGAGCTAGTCTAATACATGTGCTACACATTCAGTGAGCTAGTCTGATATCCGTGTCACACACCCAGTGAGCTAGTCGTCTGATACCCGTGCTACACACTCAGTGAGCTAGTCTGATACACATGTTACACACTCAGTGAGCTAGTCTGATATCCGTGTCACACACTCAGTGAGCTAGTCTGATACCCTTGCTATACACACTCAGTGAGCTAGTCTGATTCCCGTGTTACACATTCAGTGAGCTAGTCTGATATCCGTGTTACACACTCAGTGAGCTAGTCTGATATCCGTGTCACACACTCAGTGAGCTAGTCTGATATGTGTGCTACTCACCCAGTGAGTTAGTCTAATATGTGTGCTACAACACTCAGTGAGCCAATCTGATACATGTGTTACACACTCAGTGATGTGTTAGTATTCAGGACCCAGAGGCATTGACCAGTGCAAGTCAATTAATAGAGCCCACCCCCCCAAAAAACTAATTAAGCTGTCCAACATTTGTACAACAAATGCACCTGGCATTTAAAAGTTTCAGGTCTTCTGTTGCCGTCTCTAGTGTGGAGAGCAAGCAGCATGCCATTTTACAGACATCTCCTTTTCTAGACCTGCATCGCCACTCACGAATCGAACGGGATCGACATCATCATCTCCCTGATTCTCAGTGACATCAACCCTCTTGGCAAATACAGAATGGACTTGGTGTTGCAGCTGAAGGTAGGATGACCCCCGGCACTTTCCACACGCACCTCCCATGCAGAGTGAATTCTGAGTCTTCAAGTGATTGTGCAAAACACCATCACCTGCTCAACTCGGGAACCGACAGGAGAGGGCAGCGAGCTCAGGAGTCTCACTGAGCCAGGGAATGTGATCTCTTGCAGGCCGCAGGCACAGTGAGGTTCTCTGCTAGAGGTGCTGAAGCAGCCCCTTACCTCCTCTCCCTTGTTTTAATTTCCCATTTTTCATTACAAATAGAAGTGGAAAGTGTTTGATACCCACTCTCTCGTGGGCATTTAATTTGCCCTGGCTTGAGAATTTCATCTAGTGGTCACAATTAGATAGCATAAAGGAATGTTGCATTTTAGTTGAATCTCGCCACCTCCCAATTATAGTGTTTATGTTGAGCCTAGTATCCACTTCTAGAAAATTCTAACAATCAAAAGTTAGGAGCATAATGGCATCCAAATATTTTTGTTCAAATGAAAATAGATAAATAAAAAACAACTTACATAAATCTTACATGCTAAGAAATGATATTCAAGTTAGATAAGTTACTTTAGGCTGCATCATTGTGTTGAATATTTACACTGGTTAAAACCAAACCCAGGGGCCTGTAAGGGGATAGATAGCTTGGTAAGAACAGCTCTCAAGTTTGGTCCCCAGAAGCCTTCTGAAAAAGCCCAGTGTGGCGCTATGCCTTCTGGACTCCATATGCATGGACACACGTGCACAGCACATATAAACAAACTTAGCAGCTCATCACATGGCTAAACACACTCTTGTTTTTGGTAAAGCCAGGCCTCTCCAACTTGATAGAAAATTAACATTGGGCGGGTGAGTTGGTGGCCAAGGAGAATCCAGAATGCTGTCTGTATACAGTGGGTTGTACTCAGATCCACTACTGCGAAGTCTGTGCTGGGCTCTGTTTGTGTATTTAATGCTTTCGTCTGTACTGTGTGTAAGATCTGATACCCCCACCCACACCCTGGCCCACCTTCATGATGGGGGTGCCCTTCCTGCCTTTGTTCCTTGGGCTTTTCCTTCAGTTAGTTAGTATGTAACATGCAACCCAACTGGAGACGCTAACAAGAGTTTGTCCTCCTCTCTGAAATTCAGCTTTAACTGTAATTCACGGAGACACAGAATCCAGAGGCTGCTGAAGCTCTTTGTTGTTTAGAAGCTGAATTCTAAAATCGGGCTTGTCAGTCACATGGCTCTGTGGGGGAGGTGTTGAGTGACTCACCGACTTAACACAGAGTGTAGGTGTGTGGGTTATTTACAAATCCAGATCTTACTTTGAAAAATTAAATAATGATGATTTACTGAACTAAAATATTAGGTATTCAAATTAAAGTGCTTTTAAAATGGGTCATTCCGTTTTTATTTATTTCAGTAGCACAGTTTATTGAAACATGGCAGTCAGATAGATCCGTGTGCAGCCAAAACAACAGTTGGGTTTGTCTCTCTTGAAATACCTTGTATATGGTTTTAACTTAAAGTCTGAAGTGAGTATACTCTTTAAATCTAAAGATTTTGTGTTTATTATGCCTGATAAGAGAGCAGCTGTGAGGCACAATTACTCACGTTGGCAAGTTTAGGGACACTTATGAGAGGAGGCATTATATGAGAATTATCCACGTTATGTGAGAATTATCCATGTTATATGAGAATTATCCATGTTGGCAACACTTATGAGATGAGGCACTTCAAATAATAAATCAGTAACATTGACTCCTGGATTTGATGGCTTAGTTAGCCATAATTTTAGTAACACTTTCAATATAGTATAGCACTATAAGTATATACCATATGACTTAATATAATTTAAATGCAGTATTATAAAAACTACCATTTTAAATATGCTTTATATACTCATTTAATCTCTGGCTTAGCGAACGTCTCAGATGCGTGCCTCATCCTTCACAGTGTTTTTGTAACTGACCTGTGACTGCCAGGTGCTATGTTTGGTCAGAGGTGCATGTCTGTGTTTTGTTTAGAAAGACTCCAGCTTCCCCTCGAAGGAAAATCCTGTTAGCAGGAGTACTTAGGTTTTTCAGTATACCCAGGTGCACGAACTTCTAAATTGGTTCAGAGTTCAGGATGCCATTGGCAAGATTTCTTTCTATTTTCACAAAGTATGAGAAAGAAAATTGGTTAAAAGCACCACACAGCCAATGGCATCCGAAACTGGAGACATTTTAGAGTCCTATTCTATTGGCCCTGCAGAGCATGGCTCATTGAGAACACACCCTGTCCTGCCAGGGTGTTACCTGAATTCTGTGGGGTCTGCTCATGTGATTCTAAGGGTTCTCCGTCTAATCCCTAAGCCATGTTTTAAACATCTATTGCTTGGAACCTAGGTTATAAAAGTGGTTCATAGGACTTGAAAATACTCATAAAATGCAAAATTGGAATAGAAAAAAAATAGAACCACATTCCCAGCACTGAAATCTTTCATGGTGGCTGTTGCATTGGCGTGATCCATCATCACCCTTGTTATCTTCAGGACCATTAGGCATCCTTTTAAAGGTGGCATTTGGCAGAGCTGGGAGCACTGGATGGAACGTAGGACCCAATCTAACCCAAGTTAGTTTATACAGTCTCATCAATTACTGCCTTGTCTGCCTACGCCAAACATGATTCAGCTTGATTATTTCATTCTTAATTATTCCACTCTAAAAACATGTGGACTCTGAGTCTCTTAGACATGTCTTTAAATCCCTTCATTCCCACTCTCTCATACACATATACACTTATCAGGAGTCTGTATGGAGTAACAGTGTTTCCTGTGGTGACTCTCTGGTACCGGTTTTAAGACTGAAAATTACTTCATACTTTGCGATCTTAAGTAGCAGTATCTGAGGTAGCATCCAGGAACACATACCACTTTCACTCTCTATTAAGAGAATAGTCTTAATGTTAATAAACGTGATGAATTCAGTGAGCTATCGGGAAAACATCTCCATATTTCCAATTGGGAATTTAGGACTTCAATATTAGTTCTCACTGATGATTCACAAATGTATGTAACATTTCAATATGCTGCTACGATTATTACTTTGTTTTTTAAATGGCTGTACTCTATTCTTTAAATTATATACATACCATGTCCACAAAATGTCACTGACTCCTGCTCATCTGTTGAGGGAGCGGTGGGGCTGCATCCCCGGCACCCGGCCGCCCGCATGGCTTATGCCCCAAAATAATTACACGGAAACTGTATTCATTTAAACATTGCCTGGCCTCTTATTGGCTAGCTCTTACATATTAATTTAACCCATTTCTAATAATCTGTGTAGCCCATGAGCTGGCTTACCAGGAAAGATCTTAACCTGTGTCTGTCTGGAGTGGGAGAATCATGGCGACTCCCTGACTCAGCTTCTTTCTCCCAGTATCCTGTTCTGTTTACTCCACACACCTAAGGGTTGGCCTATCAAGGGGCCTAGGCAGTTTCTTTATTAATAAGAAATCACTCCCACATCACTCATCTGATTGTATTAGTAAGATGTCATTATGGAAATCCAATTTTAGAAACATTGGAAGAAAATATATTTCTATTTAATGCAGTGTCTAGTCAGTCTTCCATTTCAGACACCTGTAATTTTAAAATATTCCCCCTTGGGCAGGCGGTGGTGGTGCACACCTTTAATGCCAGCACTCGGGAGGAAGAGTCAGGCGGATCTCTGTGAGTTTGAGGCCAGCCTGAGCTACAGAGTGAGTTCTAGAACATCCAGGACTACACAGAGAAACCCTGTCTTAGGGTAGAAAATCCTCAAAAAATATCCCCCATCTTTTATGACTCGTAAAATATCCTACTTTCTGCTAGTAAGACAAAGTAAATAAAAAAGTTTCAGATTTCTCCTGATTGAGAAAACAAAAAGGGCCTGGTGATCTCAGCCAGCACAGATGCAGAGGGCTGTCGATCTGTGTGAATTGTGTGTGTACTCACCCAGTCCTTGCCCCCAGAACAACGCCTCCAAGCTTTTGCTGGCCATCATGGAGAGCAGACATGACAGCGAGAACGCAGAGAGAATTCTCTTCAACATGAGACCCAAAGAACTGGTAAGCGCGCTTGCCCAGGCTGTCTGCCAGGGGTACCATCTCCGGCTGCTCCAGGGAGCCTGGCAGGAGCACCATGGCCTCTGCAGGGGAGGGTGGTGAAGGCCCAAGTGACTGGGACCTGTGGATTCACTAGGTTTTATTTTAGAATTATTTTTCTGTTTTTATTTATGTGTATGTGTGTGTCTATGTATATGTATGTAATGTGTGTTCTGCTGCCCTTGGAGGCCAGAAACATGTGTCAGATCTCCTGGAGCCAAAGTTACAGGCTGTTGTAAGTACCCGGATGTGGGTGCTGGGAACTGACCTAGGGTCCTCTGCAAGAGCAGGAAGTGTACTTAATCCTGAGCTATCGGTTCAGCCTGCTTTTGCTAGTTTTATCCACTTTAAGCATGTTTCTTAGCTAAATTTCCACACTCTACTTAATTATATACCAACACCTACAGACTCTTACCTTGTTTTTTCCTATCAATGCAACTATTCACATGTTTGAGATATTTGTTCACTTACAGCTTTTATAGTTTTGTCTGCCATAAAACTTGCCAATTTTAAGTTAAAGCTCACTAACAATTGACGAGTTGCTGCCACCTTGCAGACCCCGTTCTGACTGTTTGTTCATTATTTGTTGCTAGGTGGATGTGATGAAGCAAGCCTATAACCAAGGACTGGAATGTGACCACGGGGACGAGGAGGGAGGGGATGACGGTGTTTCTCCAAAGGACGTTGGGCACAACATCTACATTCTGGCCCATCAGGTGTGCATTTTTTCTACATTTATCTTGCTTACCTGGTCATTGTGTCTTATGCTGATGGATTATTATTATTATTATATTTTTACCTTCTGATATCCTTATTTATTCAGCGCCTGCCCTCCTTGGTTTCAGTTAGAGAAAACAGTAAGTCCTCAGAATGCCCAATTATGCAATTCAGGGCCCACTAGGGAGCCTTTGACAAGTTAAAGAGCCTTGGGAGAATACTTCTGGGCCTGGAAGAAGAAAGTGTCTCACCCCAGAGCCTCAGGAGAGGGGAGGCCAGCTGCTGAGGAGGCAGGGTGTGAAGAGGTGGGTAGGGGTGTTCTACAGTTTAGCCAGGGCTAATCCAGAGAGAGCTCTGTCCTTCAGGCAGAGGTTGACAAGTTCTTAATCGAGGTCATTAAGTTTGCAGCTCTAAGCGCTTTCCACGGGACTTCTAGCGTCCATAAACTAAGTGTTCAATTTCTTCAGTGATGTTTCCATTTCATTGCTTGTAAGTACCAATATTTGATGAGCATTGTTGATAAGCTCAATCCCACAAACATGGCCAAATTGAAGCTCACATCATCTAACACAAATGGGTTTGAAATATAAAACTTGAAATGTGCACATGCTGGCTTGATTTTTGTCTCCAATGGCCCCATCGTTTTGAGGGGATAAAGTTCAGGCTTTGAAAATGTCTCAGACTTCCCAGGTGCCTCCTTCCACCTGCCGTCTCTCCTGTCTGCTTTCCCACTCATCTTATCTGTTGATTAAATAAACAGTCAGATTCTGGATAGATTTAGTTTTAAAGGTTGCTCTCTAGGTATTCCCTGTGCCCGTCATATGGCCATCTACTGGATAGAACCTTGAACAATGTTTTTGATTACTCTTTGAGGAAGGATCTGATTGCGAAAGCTCCAGCTCAGGGTTGCTGCTCCTGTTATACAGTCAGCACCCTGAGACGTGCAGGATTCTCGTAATCTGTCCGTTCACAAGGCGAGGGCAGCCGAGTTACAGCTGTGCAGACGGAAAGGCATTTTAGGCATTGAGGAACCAAAAGCCAAGCCGAGAGATGAGCAGAAGGAAGTGGAAAGACAGAGACTCAGGATCTGGGGAAGTCCCGTTTCAGAAAAAGAAAAGTCAGGTGGTAGAAGTTGAGTCAAGTTAGGAAAAGTAACAAAGAATGAGTAGAGAATGAACTGGAGTATGAACAGAAAATAATGACTCCCAGCCAGGACTTAAAATCCCATGGCATGCCAGAGGAACACAGGAGCACAGGGACGTAGTGTGTGTCTGGGCAGAGGACCTCAGAGTCTGCAACACCATCAGGAGAGGTGACAAAGAAAACTGGGGCAGAGCCAGCCCCAGAGGGTCTTCGTAAGAGGACCAGAACCACCTGCAGAGTCTTCACTGGAAGCTGGTCCTTCCTTGTTGGCAAAGGCTGTCCCCTCAGCAGGGGTGAGCAGCTGCAAGCCTCAGGCCTGGCCCTGTACGTTTGCTGGTATGCTCTAGGGCATAAATCCTCAGTCAGCCTAAACTCACCCGAGCACCAACAGAATTGCAGGCCTTGGAGCCAGACCAAGCCCCGTACCCTTGAAGTCTCAAGACACCAGCAGGAGCGTGGGCTACTGGAACATCAAAGACGTTCATCAAGATTCAGGTTAGGTCAGCTCCGTTTCAGTGGACTGAAGCCCAAGACCAGCAAATACAAATTGTGAGCTGGTCTTAGAGGGAAGGGGGACGCAGGACTAGAACAGACGCGAGAAAGGCAAACTGGCGGCAGGAGAAACGCGGACGGCAGAAAGGCCACTGGTTTTGATTGGCGTGAGCTGGAGAACAGATCTGTTCTTGGAGAGAACAGAAGCATCCAAAGTCGAAAGAGCCAGAGGTTCAAGCCGTCAAAGGGCGATCAGGGGTCAAAAGCAACTTGCAGAGAACAGGGCATGCGGAAGTGGCTGGGGTCCTACAGAGGGCTTTTATAAAACCTCTCCAGTCGTTTGCAGAGCTGTGAGGATATGCTGTGTAGCTGTGTTAAGGAAGCCAGGCTTCCGGAGGGAGAAGGACCCAGCTGAGTAAGGGAGGAAGTGGGTTCTGAACTGCCCAACGCGTCAGCCTTGTGATTTATCTGAGTCCGAACAGGTCCCGCTTAGAAACAGAGAGCCTGCAGGAGCGGAATCAGGCGCAGCCCCGCCCCCCCTTCAGTTCCGATTCTGCTGGTGTGTGTAACTGATGGTATAGTCACCGTCTGCAGCTTCCCTTTAGTGCCACAAGGAATTGTTCCCCGTCAGCATGTCGTTTTCCTTATGGAATTAATTATGCCACTGGTTTTCCTTGAGATGTTAGCAGTTTTCACTCACATTGGGCCCTTTCGATTCTTACGATTGTGGGTCATGACTGGCTTTGGCCTGGGCTGTTATCTGCCCTTGTGAACCTGCCATGTAAACAGCTCTTACACTGAGGTGTCACAAAACGAGGACAGGGTAGCCAGCTGTTCTTCAGAAGGGGAGCAGCTGTGCAGCGCCATGCAGAACCATGCAGGACGGATCCAGGCTCTGAGGCGGGAGCGTGGCACTCGGGCAGCTGATGACCTTGCAGATTTAAGCCCGCCTCTGCACCGCCCAGTCATTCGAGAACCAAGCTGCCCTTCCTCCCGGCTTCACCATCATCATCTTCTGCACACATGGCCTATTTTGGTGCTGTCAGACTTTCGGTTTTTGTTGTTGATGCTTTTCGTGGCAGGGACGTGGTTCTGCTTTTCCACCCTGACATCCCTCTGGGCCCTTCCTGTGGTCGGTGTTACAAGAAACAAATAATGCTTCTTGTAAGTGTCTTGTCTAATCTGCATAAAACTATAAATACATCACACAGGGAATTTCTTCAGCTTTGATTCTGCGGTGTTGTGCTGTGAATTTCCTCACCGCTCAGCCGCATGTGCTGGCTCTTCCTGTCTCTCGATCTCTTCTGAGCCCTGGTCTTGCTGCTTCATGTTTTGTTTCTTCCCTAAGCAGTTACCGCCCCCCCCCCCAGTACATTTCTTACTCTTTCACATGTGTTCATCATACGTCAGGCTGCATCACCTCCTTAGCTCCATCACGCAGTTGTCTCGTGTTGTCTGAGTCTCTCCATTTGCCTCTTTCCTGAAGTAAGATGGCGATGGAGAGGGCAGGGCATCATGGCTCCTGCCTTGATAATCCCACAACTCAGGAGGCTGAGGCAGGAGGACTGCTGTGAGTTCTAGGCCAGCCTAGGTGCCAGCATGAGACCCTGTCTCAAAACACAAAATAACAGAGCAAAATTAAAGAAATGGATGAAGGAATGTTAGATGCTTTGTGGGCAGGAAGATGCATTAAACAGAAAGTCAGTGGAAAATAAGAATAATACTCACTTTGATTAGTTACATGAAAATCTTCTCAAAATGCAAGCTTTCAATTTTTTCATGACTGTTTTCCTGAATCAGTAAATGGCCTTTAAACATGTAATTTTAAACATGTAACATAATTAGACATCATTTGAATGTTCTATAATTTTTGAATCACTCTTTATTGTTAAGTATAGGTTTCTAATATATTTGATATTATGAATTATGCTGTGATTAATGCCCTCATACATTAATCTTTGTCCACTGTCCTGGTGGTTTTCCTAGGGTAAAATCAGGAAGTTCAATTACTGGGCCATAGGGGCCACTCTATGGCTCTTGATACCCTTTGTGAAACTTAGTACCATTCAAAGAAAACTGCAGAACTGATAGAGTCAGGAGTATAGCTCTCAGTCCACAGACTCCTGTTCACTCCATCTGTGTGCGACACGAAAATGGAGATCTCACTTGTAGTCACTTCCTTTGCAGTGGCTCTCAGCCTTCCTGACGCTGCAACCCTTTCATACAGTTCCTCACGTTGTGGTGGCCCCAACCATAAAATTATTTTCATTGCTACTTCATAACTGTAATCTTGCTACTGTTATGAATCTTAATTTAAATATCTGTGTTTTCTGATGATCTCAGGCAGCCACTGTAGAAGGGTCAGTTGACTCCCAAAGGGGTCATGACCCACAGGTTGAGCACTGCTGCTTTAAAGAGCTTTTGAAATGGACCATCTGTCTTTGCATTCTTCGTTCTTTGATTGCTTGTATTTCTCCTATGAATTGCTTGCAGGTATATTTATCTTTTATCAGGTCTCCTTTGTCTTACAGAATTTTAATTAAGGATTAAACCATTAATAACCATTCATCTATCATATTGATTATATCTAATTTCCAATTCATTGACCTTTCAGTATTTTGATATCCTTTTTGTCTGTCAGCTTAAATTTGTTAGACACTCCCCTGGGGTTTCAATGAATGCATAATGAGTTCCACTTTTGTATTCAATCACTTAGTTCTCTACTGACATCATACATAGATGAGAAGATGTTTTCATTGGCCTTTGATTTTAAAAAATAAGGTCTCACTACACAGCCATGGCTGGTCTGGGGCTTGGAGCAATCTTCCTGGGTCAGGTTTCCAGGTGTTTGGATCACGTGTGTGCCACTATGCTGGGCTGAGATGGTAGGTTCCAGTTCTAACTCATCCCAGAAGGCACAGTCTGAGTTTTGGTGGAGAGGCCATGGTAGCTCTGTGCAGGAATGCAGGGAGTGGAAGCTTCTGGAGAAGAGATGAAGGCCAGAATACAGACCAGCCTGGGGCTTACACGCATGTGAGCGATCTGAGCAGGGCAGACCTAGGAGGCCTGATGCTCCTCCCTCAAGCACGGCGCTGGTATGCACCTCTGCCAGTTTGCCAGCTGGGATCCCAGACCTGGTGTTCTTTCTACTCCTTCCAGAACTTCAAAAGAAACCTGAATTTTTATTTTTTTTTTAAATTGTGAAAAATCTCATCTTTAAAAGTTGACAAGTCATTTAAAAAATGTAAAGACGCGGAGCAGGCCACCCCAGCTAAGAGCAGTCAGGAGCCATAGCTCACCACAGCTCGAACCTAGAGCCAGGCTAACCTAGCTAAGAGCAGCCAGGAGCCCCAGCTCACCACAG